CCCTGCAGGTAGGGCGTAAGAATTGTACCTGCTGCCCCCAATTGCATGATCGTAAGAGGCGACTAAATTTGGGACCTTATCTCTTCTCTCCTTTCTAAATAACTTTCTTCTTCCTAATGTCTCCCTTGACAATGCCTCACTTTTGGCCATTTGTTGAGCGTTCGCCCCTGTGAGGAAGGCTTTGGGTTCTGTCCCCTGGCCGAGACATACCAAAGTCTTTAAAAATGGTAGTTTCTACTCCTGCTTAACGCTCAGCAAATTAGGAGTTGGACGACTGGTTCGCCCATTGTCAGTATAATGTGACCGGGTGGGGCGTCCTGCTGGGTGTCTTCGGCAGTATGTTTCAGTGAGGTAGCACTATAAAGTCGGCATCAGTTCCGCGCTATCACAAGGAGACAAATACGAACATATCGCAGCCTCCAAAAACACACACACATGCACTACACGCATGCATCTTGCACACAGGGGAGGCCGTCCTTAAATGACCTTAGCTGTTAATAGGACGTTAAAAAAAATCAAACAAACAAACAAAATCTCAATCTCCCTACACTCAGGAGCCAAGGAATCAACTCAAGTTTCCTCTAGATCTCCCTACACTCAGGAGCCAAGGAATCAACTCAAGTTTTCTCTAGATCTCCCTACACTCATGATCAGGAACCAAGGAATCAACTCAAGTTTCCTCTAGATCTCCCCACACTCAGGAGCCAAGGAATAAACTCAAGTTTCCTCTAGATCGCCCTACACTCAGGATCAGGAGCCAAGTACTCAATTCAAGTTTCCTCTAGATCTCCCCACACTCAGGAACCAAGGAATCAACTCAAGTTTCCTCTAGATCTCCCCACGCTCAGGAGCCAAGGAATCATCTCAAGTTTTCTCTAGATCTCCCTACACTCATGATCAGGAGCCAATGAATCAACTCAAGTTTTCTCTAGATCTCCCTACACTCATGATCAGGAGCCAAGGAATCAACTCAAGTTTCTTCTAGATCTCCCTACACTCATAATCACGAGCCAAGAAATCAACTCAGTTTCCTCTAGATCTCCCTAAAATTCATGTATCTGCATTGATTGTAAAGTAAGTTTTAACACTTTTGTGATAAAAAATCATACAGATATATTTACATTTGCTCTGAATCCTTCCATTGCGATGCATTCATAAGGCGAATGTTGTTGTGAGACCATAACAACATTTGCTATTGTAACGTCATCAATCTCTATTGTGACATCATCAATTTCATTGTTGTCAAGACTTAATTTGCGGTTCAAAGAAGTGTTTGAAATAACGAAATAAAGCGTAACTACACTAACAAAATGTAACACACATTTTTATTACTGACAAACTTACATAAAGCCAGGCTTTTCGGGCTATAATAAGTTTGTCATCAATAGCAATGTGTGTTATAGGACCATAACAACATTTGCTAAAACATTCATTGCTGACATATTGCTATTGCTCACATATATAGTGTGGCACGTACCCTGTTAGATTTGTCAATTTATTTTAATTCTGTATATTCCTAAGATTATTAGATTATAGCAAGAATTATGTGACATTCAAAGCCATTACACATAATATGTATATGTATATATAGTAACAGTGATATTCATTTTTTGATACACATAACTGCAGTTACAGGTCAAACACTTATGATAATGATGACAGGTCAAACACTTATGATAATGATGACAGGTGATCAAACACTTATGATAATGATTCTAATAACTCATGTTGATATGAACCATCAAAAACATTAAACATTTAGCATTTTGCTAAAATGTTAGCTTTTCTGCGGAGTTCAGCTATTATTGAAAATCTTTTGATTAATTACTGATTAATCCAACACTTCCTTAACCTTACAGGATATTGAATGAAAGTTTGTATTACTCTTCCATAAAGAGTGAAGTAAAATAACTATAGAGCTCCAAATCTCTCGAAAGAGAAACAAACATTGAGATTATTAGCATGATACTTCAGGAAAAGAAAAATCAATAGCAAGGTTTCTTTTTGTCTATTATCAAAAATAATACAGAACATTGTTTGGTATATAATTAATCAGGTATGTTTTTATTATAATATCTAATTAACATTGTTTAAAATATACATTTATCAACCTGGTATACCTGACAATGATAAAGTAGTCTATAAATATAGACATCAACACATTCATAAAAACTAGGGAGGAGGGGGAGGTCCCTGTAGTGGACATAAGCTACATGTAGTTACCAGGCAACAAGTTAGAAAAGACGGATGACCAACTGACTAAACGGTGTTGTAATGTATCGGCTGTAAAACCTCTTTACAATTATCGTTACTTTGGATGAATACGAGACAATGTCCAGTATTCACTCGGACAAACCTGTACTGGTCAGTCACGTATCATATGACCCTCAATAGGGTTTACACAGCTACAAGCTCTACACATGCAAATAATGAAATTATCAAAACATCGATGTTCGCACAAAATTCATCTCTGGGTACTGCAAATTATCGTTTAAACAAACATCATACAATCGAATTATTACAAATTTACTTACTTAGACAGATGCTTGAGGATCTGGTTTTTCAATATTGATGCCATTTTGTCTTTTTAATTTCTCCAAATGACAATTATTAAGCAATCTCCATAGTGGTCTTCTTTCTGACCGCAAATTTCTGTTTTTCTGTAGCCATGATTAGATCGCTTATATCAAAACAAACAACAATTTATCATTTCTATTATTCTCGTATATTTCAATTTTGTGTATAGAATTGGAATAAAAATATCTTTATTTTAGTGATTTTGATGTCCTTAATATCTATTCCAACATAATTGTTTAAAAATAAAATATTTTTATCGATGCAAGGGACTACCGTCATATGGGTACACGCCCACTTCTGTATCCAGGGGCCCTGTAAAGGGAGCCATATACTGCATATATTTTGCTGATAAGCCAATATGTATGGCAAACTTTCTCGCCCTTTACCGAAAAAAATGATTTCGAAATAAAAATGATAATCTAAGAGATGTCGTCGGCAAGTGATACAATTTAAAAGAAAGTTATATAAATTATATATTTATTAAAAGTGTATGAAATGTCTTATAAAGTATAATATAGGCCTACATGTATATATGGTCAGCAAAAGTATATAAAATATTTCAAATGTATATGAAATAAGAGATATTTAATTAAAGTGTAGTGGAATTGGACTTGATCGATCGTCGGCGACAAGGTTGCTCAATTTGTAAAGCGTCCGTCTAGAGTTTGGAGTTTCCCAGGTTCGAACCCCGGTCTAGCCGTGCATTTTCCCCCATCTCCTCTTCAAAAATTATGAAAGATATGGACTATTTCCTTTAATTCGTTATATCAGTTACATTAAACAAAGCCGCATGATATGCTTTTTGAAAGTATATGGGATACATTTTAAAGAGATATTATTGGTCACAACCCGAATTTTGAAATGATTTTTTTTTTACAATTATTCTATTCTTGTGGATACTGAAGAGGAATGCTTCATTTCAGCATTTCCAAATTCCTTATAATTGACGTTATTTAAAATGAAGAAAAGCGGTATGCGTCTTACCCCTACTAAATAACTAATGGAGTAGAGTACCCTGGCCTGATATTTAGTCTTTTTGAACTGGGCAGCTATGACCTACTTTATAATTTGTACTATACCTAAAGCATTATTAAGTAGAACATATACCATGTAAATTTTTGAAAATAAGGGCTCTGGTTTCTCTATAATCAACTTAATATTATACCATGTTCCCATTTTTAACGTTTTGTACCCCCTCATTTATCGACGCATTTATTGAAGTGGGCGTCCCTCCTTTCATTTTGATTTATACTAGTATAGCATAGAGTCAAATAAATTTTCAGTTTACAGCTCTTACATGGTCTTCTAAAACGTTCAAATAGTCTCGGTCAATATCGCTTTCTCCTGTATATCCGCCTCCACAAAATTCCATAATTGATAAATAAGATGCGCGTTATTCCTAATAAAAAAAATGAAAAATGCAAAAAATATCTAACGTAATTTCAACTCAGGTTTCACTATTTATCTTTCACTAATACAACCTACATGAAATAAAGTGCCAAAAATAACGTAAATTGTTTGGAATGTCACACGTTGCATAAATGAGGAAAACAATGTACAAAACACAAATCCTTAAATTTAAATAATCTTGTAAAGCAGTGAAAATGAAACATGTTCAGATAAAATAGAATCACGGTGATTCCTCAATGCCCTTGTTGGTTTGTATTTTTCATAAATAGGAGAATTATAAAATGTTGAAGAAATAACAATGTGAAGTTAATCACACTATTACAGGTTTTCTGAACGATAGCACTTCCGGCTCTCTATTTTCGGAACTTGGCGAAGAAGGAAATCCAGACAGGAGAAAAAGGAGGAAAATCACCCAAAAAATGAAGAATATTATTATTTTAAGTGGTCTATTAGCTTAAACACATTTTGTTGCATAAATAGTTACAAAAGGATTAGTAGCAAGTTATGCCAACTTATTGAGTCCTTTTCCTGTAACAAGGTAATATTTATTTACAATCAAGCAATAGTCTATAATAAACTTAATTTATTTTACAACAATTAAGAAACAAGTTTTATAACTTACACAAATCACTCTTGTTGGACCGGATGTTACTGTGGGAGAAACCGGAGTACCCGGAGAAAACCCAAGTGGTCGGGCAGGTGACCCCATACCTTTTCACGTCCAATCGGGGAATCGAACCCCGGCCGCCTTTGGTGAAAGGCCAGTGCGCTATCCACTGCGCCACCCGACCACCCAATAGTTTAATTAGTCTATATTAAAAAAAAAAAAAAAAAAAAATAGCAGCGAAGAAAAAAAGGAAGATAAGTGGAAGCAGGAAGATCTAGATTGGAATTTGACCATGCTTATTTTGACTTAAAGTAATTAATATTTTTTCAATATGGTCTTGATTCAACCAAACGCCGCTACCCAACTGCTAGAATTTTATAACACTGCCATTTATTTTTTTTACTTTGCAGAACAAATGTGTCGTTCCTGCTTTCAACTCTGTGCTCTGAGACAATCCTGATTTTCTTATCATAAAATCGTCAGCCAATGTAGGATCAGGTTAAACTTAAAAAACACTCACAAGGAATACATTTCGCAGTTATTTTGGGCTTGGTTAGAACATTCAACATCTTACATAGAAAGGGACATAACTGTAGTTTCCTTGATCATGATTGTTAAGAATCAATAAATCGTCGAAAACTCTGTCGGGTTTATGATTTATTCTAGAATATTGAAATGATCGGCTACAGAGATTTTAATTGTTTCAAAATCCTAATCATTTAAATTTAATAAGTATTGTTCAGTCTTAGAATTAATTAGAATTTACGTACGATAGACAATAATAGTCTATACAGATTTATATAGCATATTAAAAACATCCGATTGAGCAGACCTTTTCCATGAAACTTTTACTTACAAACTAAGTACTTGATAACATTAAATCAAGGAAATCATCTGATGGCGCAGTGGATAATACACTCGTCTTTCATCAAGGCGGCCGGGGTTCGATTCCCCGATCAGACGTGCAAAGGATATAGGTTCATCTATACAACCCGGGTACTCCCCCATTAGACCCCCCACCCCCCACCCCCCGTGATTGATATAAGTTGAAATGAATTGATTCAAATAAATAAAGTTTATTTTTCTTTTTTCTTTTCTTTTTATTTCTATAAAGGATTTTTGCAACAACTTTTCATAATTTCATATTTTACGGTCATGTGATGCAATAATACGTGTAGTCACTGAGACCAGAGACGTATATTACAGAGCTAAATTATTGATCTTTACAAGTATTGTAACAATCTCATTTTAAGAACCTGGTTAGAAATATTATCAAATAATTAATATCTGAAGAAATTTTTGAAATTGAATGGTGAATTAAAAAAAAGGAGTTCGTGTTCTAATGTGTCATGAAAAATAACCCTCACACATCAAAGCCGCCATTTTAACTTGTTTATTCTTAAAAACCTGTATTTTCAGAGCTAAATTATTAAACTTTGCAAGTATTATAACAACCTCATTTTAAGAACCTGGTTAGAAATATTATCAAATAATGAATTTCTGAAGACTTTTTTGAAACTGTCTAAAGAACAAAAACGGAGTTTGTGTTCTCCTGAAGCCAGAATCATTCCCAATATATCAACACAGCCACGATGTGCAATCTTTCTATGTTTGGTGTTTTCTAAACTTAATCATTAAAGTTTACATTCAATGTAGCACTCCCAAACTGCATGGAAATCTCAGCTAGCTACGGGTTTAATACTACGTTGATTTTCGATGTTTTCTCATGGCATAATTATGTTTTGAATAAGACAGGATTATTGAATGCAGCGAACCGTATATCCAATATATAGGGATATACGTCTCTGCCGAGACCCAGCTGTCTCTCTCGGTTCTCAGATGATGGACAGGTCAGGCACCCCATCTATATCAATCCAGTTAATATGCATATTTTGAACTCCGATATCCTGTTCATTACTGTATCCATTCTGACACGCCCTTTACATGTCAAATTTACATATTATGATATCTGCATAACAGTGTAAGTTATGAAATCAACCAATAAATGCTGTATAGGTAAAATCATCAATCGACAAATAAAGACATCAATAATATTCTTATCCGAAAAGGGATGTTAAACATTCAACCCTGAACCACGGAAATCTAATTCCGGATCAGCATCAACTAAATTCAATGTAACTTCAAGCTGAGATACAGAAATACACAGATAAAGATACATAATGTATGAATGAATAAAGGGGTGTAATTACCTGTATGTCTTACCACGTAATACCATATCATGGCCAAAGGGCATTTCCGATACCTACCCCCTGTGAAATCACAGGTGAACTAATTACCCAGAGGTGTTACCTGTGAATGTTATGGCCAAAGGGCATGTATCCTCCAACTAACATAGGTAGTATGCAGGGGCGGGTCCAGGTGAGGGCGTAACGGTCGTACGCCCCCTTTCCAAAAAAAAAATTAAAAAAAAATATCGTAATATGCTAATATTGTATTGAATATGGCAATTTATCATATACATTAATTAAACACATAAACACCCTGACACTTTAACTATAAAATATACATGCTCCAAGTCAGGAACTGTTACATTAGTGCATTTCACAATTATTTTATGTTTTTTAGCAAAAAAAAGGTCCAAATTTTTATTTGACTCGCTCCGCTCGGCGACAGATTTGATTCTACGCCCCGCCCCCTCTTTCAAATATCCTAGAAACGCCCCTGGTATGGTGTACCAGCGCGTTTCTTTTTGTCCCCAGCGTTGAAAGAAAATATGTTGTTGAAAGTACTAAAGTCAATTTCGACAGAATACACTACAGGGGGGCCGGGACGACTAAGGGGTCGGAACGACTAAGGACGGACCAGGTAGGGGCCTAAACTACTAGGGGGTCGGACCGAGAGAGGCCGGAACGAGTTAACAAGGAAAAAGTGTATGTGAATCATAAACGATATTGTTTTTGATAAAATTTCTGAATTCTAACATATTTATTTTGTAGTAATGGTGGTACTGAAATGAAATTTACTGAAAAGTGTAAAATAGCAACACGAACATTTGTGTTTTTTTTAACAAAACCATTTCCTCAAGGGCGGATCCAAGATTTCGTGATGAGTTGTGTCAAACTATTTTCAGAATTAACCTTCCAATTATAGCATATACATGTCAGCTGAGACCGCCAATACATCCAGATTAATCCAGATTTAAACATATTTTATTTGCAAAAAAAATAACATTGGGATTGGGCACAAGTTTTCTAACATATATAAAGCCCTTTCCCAATAGAATTTAACAATAAGACATATATATACATCATATTTACAAAATAAACGAGAGAGAGAGAGAGAAAGCGAGAGAGAGAGAGAGAGAGAGAGAGAGAGAGAGAGAGAGAGAGAGAGAGAGAGAGAGAGAGAGAGAGAGAGAGAGAGAGAGAGAGAGAGAGAGAGAGAGAGAGAGAGAGAGAGAGAGAGAGAGAGAGAGAGAGAGAGAGAGAGAGAGAGAGAGAGAGAGAGAGAGAGAGAGAGAGAGAGAGAGAGAGAGAGAGAGAGAGAGAGAGAGAGAGAGAGAGAGAGAGAGAGAGAGAGAGAGAGAGAGAGAGAGAGAGAGAGAGAGAGAGAGAGAGAGAGAGAGAGAGAGAGAGAGAGAGAGAGAGAGAGAGAGAGAGAGAGAGAGAGAGAGAGAGAGAGAGAGAGAGAGAGAGAGAGAGAGAGAGAGAGAGAGAGAGAGAGAGAGAGAGAGAGAGAGAGAGAGAGAGAGAGAGAGAGAGAGAGAGAGAGAGAGAGAGAGAGAGAGAGAGAGAGAGAGAGAGAGAGAGAGAGAGAGAGAGAGAGAGAGAGAGAGAGAGAGAGAGAGAGAGAGAGAGAGAGAGAGAGAGAGAGAGAGAGAGAGAGAGAGAGAGAGAGAGAGAGTTTGATTTTAAAAGTTGACAATCGTTTTAGACACAGACTTATCCAGTTCCTGTTTATAAATATTGTGTTAAAAAACACACTAAACCAATTCACAAATTAGAGCGAGACAGAATTCTTTTCTTTTCGAGTTTGAATTTCACGTATATTTGGGAACCTGTTTCTTTTCTTAAAGAATATTAATAGAATATGAATCAATGTTTTTTTTTGTGGTTCAGTTTTGGGTAATTACTTCAAGATACAACTGAGTGACGAGTGGGCAAGCTGTTTAATTATTTCACGGAATTAGATATCTAAGTCCGCGATTATTTGTAAAAATGTTGTAAAAAATAATTGAAACGTCGTTGAATTGAGTAGGAAAATAGTGCCTCACAACGGTACACTTTTCATATATTTCAATACACGTTTTAAAGTCATGTTATTTGTATATTTCATTTATCAGTATATTAAATTTTCATAATTACACCTCTTATATTTTATGCCTTCCTTTTTATGTATGATTGGACAGGACGTTGATAAAGTTGAAACATATATATGGCAATGTAATATAATATAACCACGGACTTAGAGAGTCAATCAATACTAATCTAATTCTGTGATATAACATTGTTGGACTTTTTATTTTAAAATATTTATTCAGAGCTGGTAGTATTAACAATTTTAATTCCGTCGTTTTACAGTACTGAATGGGTAAACAAAGTGAAACAAACAAATTAACATTTGAATCAGAACTGTCAATTGATAACGACAAAATTACCCCTTAGAGACCCCCTGACATTTCTCGTCCGGATATGACATCATGCTTCTACTTTCAGACAGGAAATGGATGTGCCTGAAATGTGAGTGTCTCGCCGAAATAAGCAAGGTGATAAATAACTTCTATCTCCTCAAAGGTAATGTTTATTTACTATATGGTCGAGTTATTGGAATGGTGATATGTTTCTTTACCAGACAGGAACATAAGCAAAGCCAAAATAACTTTAGTTATTACGAAAACTACATGAAAATCCCCATGTTTACGTTCTGTTTACATTCGATACTCCTCTTGGACTTTCATATTGTAACACGTGCATTTGACATACTTTCATCATTTTCATAAATAGAGAACTTTACCAAATACTACAAAATCCATAGCATATCATTGATCAGAAGATGTCTTTGATATAAAATGTTATTTGATTATAAGCTTCATGAGTAACGTTTCTCAAAATTTCCCGTTAAGATTTTTTCTGAATATTCACATTAAGAAATCTCGGCATTCCACAGACATTCCATTGTCATTCATTCATGTTTTATGACTATGTGATAATAGAATGATGATATTAGTTGTTCTTTTTTTATGTAAAACATAAGTACGTTTGCTGTAACTGAGATATGGCAATTAAAGCCTTATGGATACCTGTTTAATTAGTATAATATGTGAAATGACTACAATTAATGTACCTGTGTCTGGACCAGACATTTGCAGTAAACAACTTGCATTCTTGTAAACCAAAGATCTCTCATCCTAGAACAGTAGGCTTACAAGGCTGTTGTTCACCTGTATCAGGGATTGTGTTATATGTGTAGTGGAGCTGATCTGTCACTGGTGTCCAGGTAGCTTATTTGGGAAGAGCTAAAGCATGACGATGTGTTGAGAGTTTGCCATAGGTCTGGGGTACTCCTATAACATGAGAGGCCGCTGGTCATCCTTTTTTCTATCAGATATGATTTTGCCGACTGCGACGCCTGTATCTCGCCGTGTTAAACCTCTAACATTGTTGGAGTAAGGTGACTGGGGTTCAAATCCCAATCTGGATTTGCTGTATTTTCCTTATCATGTTACAGTAAGCACTGTCAGTCTTCATGTGCTTGGAAAGAGGATACCCAAACCCAGGTATATAGTTCAAGGGTAAGAAGTTGCTGGGGGAAGTTTATAGGATCAATGTTATATATGAGGATATTATATGTATATATGTGTCAGATGGTAGAGCGGTGGGCTGGGAACCTGGGGGTCGTGGGTTCGATTCCCAGTGGAAGTACACTACTCTAGATCGTTTTCCTGTTACATATACAATTGATATTGAAAACGGGTGATATTGACGTATTACCTGTCTAGCTCCAGATACCTCCATCATTCTTATATTAACTGTAATAGGAAATGGCAACTACATTGTATTAACCGACAAGCTTTGTTAATTTTTTAACTGTTTGATCAATCTTCATATATATTTTTTTAAGAAGCTCCTGATCATGAACTTCAATGAGTTTACATGTATGAATTACAAAATAATTCAGGTCAACTGCTTCCACATCCTTGGAAACCTCTTTGGTAGTTTATATTTATTAGGGTTCACTGTTGATGTGTTCTTACACCTTCCTCTACTCTTTATATAATAACTGTACCATTTCCTCTCAAAAGACACTTATGGGAGTATGGATGCCATGATTACTCTCTGCTTAACTGACGTTGTTGCAACTTTCCTCCATAGCTACATATACCAAAATGCTGTTTGACACTGCTGGGATGACCATCTGAAGCTGGACCCATTTCACGTTATTTATTTATATAAGGAGTCTTGATTATCCCCTCATTGCTGCCTTCATCACAACCTGTAATGCAAGTTTGACCTTTCAGGTGACCTCAACTTGAATGTACAGAAATGTATCATGTCTCTGTGACTTTGATTTCTTGTTCCTGTATTTGGACTTGTATGATCTTGTTAAATCCAATAATCTCAACCATTGTATGCCTTTCAGGCTTTGACCTTCTGCATTCTCCCTTTTCACAAGACTTTGATCTTGATTAGTCATTTGTGAGGTCAAGTTGACCTTAATGACTCAGATGATTTGATTGTCATAGTGGCATTTTTATATGTCTTAATAACATTGAATCCATTAACTGACCTTGGCCTTGTTGGTGACCTTTGAGTAATCTGGATGATTGCATATGTATGGTATTGTTGCCTTCTTGTTGACCTTGATGACCTTGCCTTCATAGTGACCTTGATGACCTTGAACTTGATCTGGATGAGTTGTGTATAATAATGTAATCATAAATATGGTCATTGATGACCTTGTCTTGAATTTGATGGTGACCTTGATGATAATCTTGATGATAACCTTGACACCTTTGGTAACTTTGTAGTACGTGACAGACCCCCAAGATTATGATTACCTTGCTAATGACACCAAATTTATGATAATCCAATGCATTTTGTCCCTGAAAGACGTTGACAGCACACCAATGGAGTTCTACAACTGCAAGTCCTGCCTGACCTTAGTTGTATTAGAGGTTCACTCTGCCAACTGTACCATTGTTAGTAATTCTATAGGTATCAAGTACTAGTAATATCATATTTTACTGGTGGTGATGCTAACAAAGGTTTTATCATAAACGCTGTACTTCATATACTAACGGAAATATAAAACCCAACTTCAGTTTTGGCCTATAGTTAATAACTTACCTACACGTTGACCAATTTCAGTGAAATTTGGTCGTATGTTTGCTCCTGGTACTGTCATAGCTAGGGGTGCTGGCTCAATTTGTGTGAGGCCCAAAGACAAAACCTTGCCGTACGCTTTTAGCGACATTGTCAAAATTAAAGCATCTCGGGCATATCCACCTGTGAGTAACTCGAAAACCATTCCAAAACGAACTTCTGACTGTTTGACTGTCGTGCCTTTGGAAAATTGGCATACATCATTGATAAGCAGAGATGCTGATCTGCCCGAGAGTGCACATGGTTTGAAATGCATTGCACGATTTTAACTTAAAGTTTTGGTGTCCTATTGTTGGACTGTTACTTAATCAATGGCAACATCAGCGCAAATGCATGCGTTAAGGAAAAGGACTGATCTGGAGGAGGGCTTGGGGGAACATTTCTGATGGTGTTTAAACCCCCTCAGTTGTCATCCAGGACAATCTCACAGCTATTAGAGCTAGGCAAGTATCTTGTCCTTTAATCCCACGTCATTCCCCAGAATCTGACCTTCCAGAAGAATAACATGCCAGGCTACATGATGCAAGGGTATGTTGTGCTTTTCTACCCCAAAACAATGTCCCAGTAGCTAGTCAGTACTTGATTGGTCACCATACAGTCCAGATTTGTCCCCCATTGAACATTTGTGGGGTACAAACTGGACAGGCAGGTTAGAAAATGCACCAACGCCCCAAACAACGTCGCCCAGCTAGCTAATACAGGTTCTTTTAGAGGAATGGAAAAATATCCTAGTTCAAAGAATAAACAGGCCGATAGCTTCGATGGTCAGGACGTTACCCGGTATGGACAATGATCTAGGCCCATAGTATTGTATAGACTGGATCAGGTTATGGATGGCTCTATGCGACGTCATTTTTGACACAGCCACTTAATTTTTGTGTTACAACATTCATTTTTTCTCATAAGTTAATCCGAAAGGGTCCAGTTAAATGTTAAATCACGGATAATAATTTGTGAACCGCTTTGAGACGATCTGCAAACTAGGTTGAACCATCCATTATTATTATTATTATTATTAAATCAAACTCTTCAATAACCTTTCTGAAATGGACCAGCTCCAAAAAATTGTCTTTTTTCCCCGACAGTATACTAACGAAAGTGTTAGTACTGGTATATACGTACTATATCTAGCAATGTACATTGTATGTGTGGTGTTATATACGTATACTGGCGGTTTACACTGCCGAAGGTGTTTGTATTTAGACATTATATCTAGCAGCTTCAGTCTGTGTACACACTACACCATTGTGGGCTGCTGTGGAAATAGAAACCTTAGGCTAGTTGTTTTATGAATAATTGAACACAATAATCATCATTATGATATTGATAAACGGTGGAGACAGGCTGACGTGTTGTGCTGGGAAGTGTTGAAGGCACGTGGCCCCGGTCATTACAGGTCATTAAAACACACACGAATCCTGTTACATGTATGATTGATTTATAATCATAGGTAGTATATACATATTATAAGTAATAATCAATAACGAAAAATAATAAGATCTAGAATTATTACCTCTGATGGTTTTCTAAGTTAACCAGCTTAAACAAATACTAAAAAGTATATATCTCTTTTTTACAACTGTTAATTATTAACTGTTCCGACAGAAGTATGATTTTGTCTTTTTAAAATTAATTTACTTTATTGTAAGTTTTAGTTGGTAGCAACAGTGTTTTTCTTACCTTGTGTAACAAAGGGTTTGCTATATAAGTATAAAACCTTCACCATATGTGCATAATGTTTATATTATATAAAATGAATTCAGTCTATAACAAAAAGTGATATTACCTACAATTGTTCAGACAACAATAGAAGAATGGAAATTGCCAGAAAAGAATTGCATTGAAACGCAATTTATCTTTCCACTGATCTAGATTGATCAATTACCTTTTATCAGGGGAGATAACCATCTTTAGTAATTGCCTGTTTGTAACTGTATAGTGTACAGAGACACATTCTGACATGGTACCTGCTCATTTATTCCTTACTCGGGTGTAATTGCTATATCCCCCCTCCCCCCACAAAGAACATACAGAGATATATACTTTTAGCATTTGGATAAGAAATGTAAATAGACGGAGAAATAGATATCGTCGGTCCATTTACATTTTTTGTCTGTTTGTCTGTATGCAATTTCGTTTCCTTTTAGAAATTTGACATGGTGATACACTGTAATGTGTAGATGTGCAATAGGGAATTAAAAAGTTTGTAAGGTCAAGGTCAAAGGTCACTATATCTAAAAATATACCATGGAGGCCATGGAGGGTACAGTCCTTAAAACAGAATCCTAATAACTGATATCTGGATGTGTAATAGGAGGTTTAAAGAGCTTCTAAGGTCAAAGTCAATGTCACTTTTACTAAAAATAGATTATATTTGACTGGAGGTAACAGTCCTTATCTCAGAATCCAAAAATCTATTTGAAATTTGACATGATGATACAATGTGATATGTAGATGTGCAATAAGGGTTTAGAAAGTTCCAAAGGTCAAAGTCATTGTTTCTCAACATAGACCATGGGGGCCACAGCCAGGCTCATGCTAAATATAATTCAGTATTTTTTGTTTCACAGCAGGTATCATTTGCCCTAATATTTAATGCTATCTTTGGAACAAAGAATTGCACAAAGTTCAAACAATCCACTGCTTCAAGTTTATAATGAAGTTTTCCTTCACAAATATTTCACTTCATCAGTTTACGTTTGAGGAAGTAATGCCCTTAAAATATATCTAATTTTGAAAAATTGAGGCAACTCTGGGGGAAGGCCTTTTTCTGAAGCAATACAATGATATATGCTCCTTTTAACCAGTTCTAAATAAACAGATATATGGTAGAATGACTTTGCTATGTTTTTAAGGTTTTTTTTATTATAAAAAAAACCCTGTTTTCCTCTACAGAAGCCATTTGCTAACCACCCTAATGTAAAATTTATATCTGAGTGGCAACACAAGATTGTACAGCAAGGGAGATAACTCTAACTGCCTTAGAAATGAACTGTTTATAATGGTCAAGTCTTTTAAGTGTCCAATATTTCTCAGTTCAGTGTGAAAGATCACTATGGAACTCTATAGAGAGCAGAAATGGTTATACATTTCTATTACACTGAGCAGTCAGCATAAGACATTTTGTAGCGGTTGGACATTTTTTGAACCCTCTTTGTTTTGATGTGTTATTAATTAGTGGATGGGGTATTACAATTGTACATGTTTGTCTTTTCTGTCAGTTTGTCCGTTTGCACAACACCTTTGGTAAACTTAACATTTATGCATAGTTAGCTTTGTAGACTTTTACTGAAACATTAGAATTATCCTAAAGTCATCAAATTTCATTAATGGATACATATTGAGGAGTGTGCTAAAACAATGTGTAAAATGTAGGTCACTGTGACCTATATTTTAATTTCTACTGTACTGAATTTGGTTAGATTTTGAAGTTAATCAGCTTCAATTTTCTGATTGGATTTGCATTTAGGTCTATTGCAGTGAAACATGGGTAGGTATGTTTTACATAGATTTTCCTTGTTTAAACAAGTTTAAATAGTTTCTTTATATATACTATTTAATTGTCAAACTGTCAAATCCTTCATCTTTAATGACTGTTTGATATTTACTCAATGAATATTTAACATAATTCTGTATAACTGTATTATATAATGTATTTTTTGGTTTCACCATGCATATTTTACAAATTCTTGGTGAATCACAATTGACCAATTAAAAACAAATTCCAATGTGTGCAAAATTCTAAACTTGTGTGTAAACAATATCTACTCCAAGTTTTTAGGAGAAAGAATTTTGAGTTTGATAAGGAATGTTTTGTATGGGACAAATTGTGTAGGTTATGTCTCTTGGTAGTACGTGGTGTAGTGATAACATACTAAGAAAGATAACTCTTACTCAAAATCTTGATGCTTGTCCACATATATATATATATTCCTGGGCAACCCAGGCCATGAAGGCCATCGGAAAGAATCACTGTACATGAAATAGGGAAATTATGTGCAAGATCCTTTAACTTGTTAAACTCAGCATTCAAATGTCTGTGGATACTTTGTAAAAATATGCAAAATTAATATTTTCACCAGGGGCCTGTTTGTTATTGCGGAACGATCGGTATATCCGTTTTTAAATATAACATTTTCGCATATAAATCCTAGCAGACCTGCAAAAGTGTATGCAGGCCTTGCAAGGCTTGGTCAAGGCTTGCCTGAAAGCAGCATCAGATCACTAGCTATAGGTCCAACCTTATTTCATAAACGAACAACTCTGGTCCAACCAGTTCAGCCATTTGGACCGCGATAAATTAAAACGGCCCATGTAACTTTCAAAAAGTAGCTTGATCCTTAAGAATTCAAGAATAGAAAATAGCACTCAGATCATGTAATTCAGTCAATTCTTAAAACAATAAGCATTTTCAATCTTTACCTGTATGTACCTTTTAGAAAGCAGGGGTACCATTACATGTATAAGAATTATTTTCAAAGCTCCTGGTAGGGGGAAGTAAGCCCAGTCCAGTAATCCACTTACTGAAATATGACATTCATAATATTTCTATTACTTGCATTGCTAAGGGCAAGTAAAGTGAAAATTTTTACTTGCTCTGGTTTGAAAGGATGTTGTCTTGGGCATCTGGAAGGAAGATTCTTGAACCTCTGTAAAGATTGTACCGTTCTGCCCAAAATGTATCTTAATTTGTTGAAAATCAGTTCAAAATTAGGATTGTTTTGATAAGTTCTTAATTCTTTTATATTTCAGTGTGCTTCACCATGAGATGACATTGCAGTGACCTAGGTACATTTAAGTACGGGTACATTCCAAAATGGAGGCTGGGGCGACAGCCGGGGGATCCTCGGCTAACGTCCAGTCACCGCCAGCATCTGCTGCGGCGACAGCGGCCAAGTCACTGCTCTATCACGACTACGCCAATGACTCAAAGCTGTCCATCTCTCTACGTCGCTACAAACTGAAGGACCAAGTTGTGTGTCCCAACTGTGGTCAATTCCACGAGCCCCATGGAACTCACTTGTATGACTACCACCAAGCAGTGGACGAGGACCTCATGTGTCAGATCTGCCTCCAGCCGCTGGTCAATCCACTGGACACTCGTTGTGGCCATACTTTCTGTTCACGATGCCTACACAACTACCTCAAGATCCAGAGCCAGTGCCCCGTCGACCGGCAGCGCCTTGACGACATCGACATACAGCAGTCCAGCATACTTGTCAGGAGGTAATTATATATAAGTCATTACAGAAATTTATTTACAGGTATTGTAAACAGGATTTTGAGAACACTTTGGATGAATTTGTATTTCGTGATCCCTGCAAGGTCAACGCCAAGGTCACTGTTTCTATAAAGGTCAACCATTGCTATTTTGTCAGTAGTTTCTTCATTGTCATCGATCTAAACTTAAGGGAAATCATGTCTTACACTTTTTTTTAATTAACCCATTCATGATTAGAAAAGGTCTTGATTTAATCTTGAATTTTAACTCAATTAAGGGTTTCTGGCATATTCTGCTTTTTAAAAATTGTTCACTTCATTTCAGTTAAAAAAAAGTGACTCAGTGTAGTTCATCAAATGTGTAGTTTCCAAGGTTAAGAGCTCGAGGCAGTCAAAAGAAAACCTAAAATTGTTGATAAAATAAGTATTAAAGAACTCAGTTTTTTGGTTTAAAAAAAACCCTGTATACATATGTTATCTATGTGTATGGAAATTTGCATTAAATTATTTATGAATATCTTGTTAACCATTAACAAATGTAATTCTCCTGACTGGAATGTTCTCTGTATCTCTTTAACCTGAAGAACGCTCAAGTTGTCAGGCTTGAATTTTTCCGAATTTGACTTTATTTGAATGGAGTGTGATCCTTTATATACATTCAACCGACGGACATTATATTGTTTGCTGCAGTGAATTTTTTGTATAAAAAAAGCATCATTACACACATACAGACATAACGTTTTCACAATCACACTTGTTCATGTACATTGTAATAAAGATATTGTGAGACTTAACCCTTTCACCCCTATGTAACTTGAGTAGACTCTACCAAGCAATGAGTTGGATGAGCCCATTATGGTCTACAGTGGTGAAAGGGTTAATCTTTGATATTAGTTTGGTACAGTATGTATGCTAAATACCTTTTTTAAAAAATGAGTCATACATGATTTAGGAGAGACACACTCTAAGGGGAATAACTCCACTTGCTTTATGGTCTACAGCATATCTCAAATTTGATTCTGTTCATAACAAAGGCAGTAATATAAATATTTAAAGTAATACACTGTTGTATATGTAAACTATATGAACTGTAAATACTTTTATGTTAAAATAAAATCTTGCTTTTAAAAAAATCTTCAATGCTATATTTAGATAACAAAACTTTGTAAATTTTGTTATGTAAATTAATAGATCTCAATGCCACCTAGCATTTACTTCTGAGGTACTGATGCCTTTTTTTTGACATCGCATAGAATGTCTTTGTGTCATTTAGTTTTTGTTGAATCAAAATATCCGATGAGAGCAACTTGTCCATCAGAATGTTTATTTTCAAACCACTAGCCCGAAATGAGAGAGAAACAAATCTTATCAAGACATCCAATCTTCCTCAACACCATAAAATAACTGAGTAAATCCCTGACATTGCCTTTTGGTAATTACAGTTGCCATATACCAGATTGTGATATGGATTATTACATCCTGATAGGCATGGCTAGGTCTTTCGACTGAGTGTCTTGTTGTTAAGGTTGATGGAGGAGCAATGATTATAATGTCCATAGCTTCATTGGTCAATGATACATGTAATGACAAGAGTGGTTCATGGTACCATGATACATGTAATGACAAGAGTGGTTCATTGTACCATGATACATGTATTGACAAGAGTAATTCATGGTACCAAGATACATGTAATGACAAGAGTGGTTCATTGTACCATGTTACATGTTATGATAAAAGTGTTTCATGGTACCATGATACCTGTAATGACAAAAGTGGTTCATGGTACAATGATACATGTAATGATGAAAGGGATTCATGGTACCATGATACATGTAATGACAAAAGTGGTTCATGGTACAATGATACATGTAATGATGAGAGTGATTCAGGGTACCATGATACCTGTAATGACAAGAGTGGTTTATTGTACCATGATACCTGTAATGACATGGGTGGTTCATTGTACCATGATACATGTAATGACGAGGGTGGTTCATTGTACCATGATACATGTAATGACAAGGGTAGTTCATTGTACCATAATACCTGTAATGACAAGAATGGTTCATTGTACCATGATACATGTAATGACATGGGTGGTTCATTGTACCATGTTACATGTAATGACAAGGCTGGTTCATTGTACCATGATACATGTAATGACGAGGGTGGTTCATTGTACCATGATACATGTAATGACAAAAGTGGTTCATGGTACGATGATACATGTAATGATGAAAGTGATTCATGGTACCATGATTCCTGTAATGACAAAAGTGGTTCATGGTACAATGATACATGAAATGATGAAAGTGATTCATGGTACCATGATACATGTAATGACAAAAGTGGTTCATGGTACAATGATACATGAAATGATGAAAGTGATTCATGGTACCATGATTCCTGTAATGACAAAAGTGGTTCATGGTACAATGATACATGAAATGATGAAAGTGATTCATGGTACCATGATACATGTAATGACAAGAGTGGTTCATTGTACCATGATTCCTGTAATGACAAGAGTGGTTCATTGTTCCATGATACATGTAATGACAAGGGTGGTTCATTGTACTATGATTCATGTAATGACAAGGGTGGTTCATTGTACCATGATACCTGTAATGACAAGGGTGGTTCATTGTACTATGATACATGTAATGACAAGGGTGGTTCATTGTACTATGATACCTGTAATGACAAGGGTGCTTCATTGTACCATGCATGATACCTGTAATGACGAGTGGTTTATTGTACCATGCTACCTGTAATGGCAAGGGTGGTTCATTGTACCATGATACCTGTAATGACAAGGGTGGTTCATTGTACCATGATACCTGTAATGACAAGAATGGTTCATTGTACCAAGATACATGTAATGATAAGGGTGGTTCATTGTACCATGTTACATGAAATGACAAGGGTGGTTCATTGTACCATGATACATGTATACGTAATGACAATGCAAGGGTAGTTCATTTTACCATGATACATGTAATGACAAGAGTGGTTCATTGGACCATGATAAATGTAATGATGAAGGTGGTTCATTTTACCATGATCATGTAATGGCAAAAGTGGTTCATTGTACCATGATCATGTAATGGCAATGTCATTCATTGTACCATGATCATATAATGGCAATGTCATTCATTGTACCATGATCATGTTATGGCAATGTCATTCATTGTACCATGATACATGTAATAACAAAAGACATTTATTGTACCATGATCATGTAATGGCAATGTCATTCATTGTACCATGATCATGTAATGGCAATGTCATTCATTGTACCATGATACATGTAATAACAAAAGACATTTATTGTACCATGATCATGTAATGGCAATGTCATTCATTGTACCATGATCATGTAATGGCAATGTCATTCATTGTACCATGATACATGTAATAACAAAAGACATTTATTGTATCAGGATACATGTAATGACAAAAGTAATTCATGGTATCATGAACTTTATCAGTCACAGATATTAGTGATGTATAAATCTCTAGACTCTGACCATCGATTGAATCAGTTCATCAATAACTTGAGAACAATGTCCATAAGGCATTGGACGTTTCTGGTCAATCAAATCTAAAACGATTCCAATTGTCATTTTTGTGATCAACAACCAAATGGAGACAAATAAAAGTTGGAGACAGTTATGAAATATTGTAAGAAGGTTATGTATTTTGACCTTAACATGTCTGTAAATAGTTCTTTGACATAGATAGAAATAATTCTGTCGGAGTCAGGTACGCATGTGTCATGATATGGTCGGACTTCGGGGAGATCTGATTCAAGTCTACATGATTTACATGTCATTTATTTCGGCTCTTTTTGGAAACGCAGTTAATTGACAGTCAGGCAATATTCACAGTAAGCACGGAGATAGACCAATTAAATGAGGAGCTTGTCTTTTATAAGTGTAGATTTGTATCGGACTCTCTGATTGGTCTAGATCGATGGATTGAGCAGCCCACTTACAAAGGAGACCACTAGATCAATCTGATGAATGGAACACGTGTCATTTTGATTAGCCTTGATAAGCTGTACGAGGTTTTCGACTGCTTCCCCAATCGGCACCAGATTGGCGATGACTTCTGGCGAAATTGCCAGTCACATTTGGTTTCAGTATTTTCCTGAACAATGTGTATATATATATATTTATGTTGCAATAGTTATTGACCATCTTCCCCTTTGATTTCGCTCCGAATAAAAACATTTTTTTGTATATGTTTGGAGAGTCTGTGATTCCTGCAAGAATTGTAACTATCATGTTTATACAAAGCCAGCTTATTTCCTGTTGTCTGGGATTGACCGATCATGTGATGTGCTGTTAAAAATGTCATTGATCGGATAGGTTGATGGAATTTCGGCTATTTCAACATTGCATATTAATGCAATTCGGTGCCAATATTGTTTGGGTACAGACATGTAATGTCGTTATGGCGATTGATACAGACACATAACGCTGTGTTGGTGCACTTTTGAAATGCACAACATGATGGAAGAACAATAAGACATGTAATGGTCAATGTTTGATCTCGCTAGTCCTGATTTCTGTCTTAAATCGTTCTTCTTTGTTATAATGACAATATGTTTATATTGTTTACATGTTCATTGTTGTGATATTTATATGTTTGTTGTTGTGTTTGTTTGTGGTTTAACTCATGATTCACCCCTGAAGACACATTTGAACTGGTCCAATTCAAAGGTTGGAATAGTTCATTATGAAATTTTAGGGGTGAATGAGTTAACATACTTACAACAGTTAAGGTGATATGGAGACGGGTGCCTTATTAGGGAGACAGTGCCGAAAAGAATCGAGTAGCAAAGTGAAAAAAGAAAAGACAGATATAAAGTATAATTACGGAGAACGCAGATTTAAGTTTGAACTTCTTCAATGTTCTCTAGGCAGAAGACAAAGAATAAACTCCTGTTTCTGCAGGAAGCCCCACATTGCCCCAAGTTGCTTCTTGCACATACATTAACG